CAAGGTTAGAAAAAGTTGTGGGCCTATCAGCATCCCTTTCTTTGTTTAAACCAACCAACCCTAAATTAAGGGAAGAAGACACGGCCCCATTCTAGCTAACCAAAGACCTTAAAGGCCCCAGCCCTTCAGGAGAGGCAAAGAATTAGCACCCGACTGCCCCCTCTGCCTTACAAAGGGTCTTCTCTCTGTGAGCCTTACTGTGCTTGTGCAGGTGCATGCACTCGCACGTGCTAACACACACACACACGTTTCCTCACCTTTAATAAAATTCTTTCTTCATTGACTGATTCTGGCTGCTGTGTCTGAAATTTCCCCTGCTGCTACTGTTGAGCTCAAGATTTTTTCCTGCCTTTTAATACTTTAACTGGCAGAGAAAACGAGCCCAATCCAGACCCCTAGAATGTAACAGTTGTGTCCTAGCTGGAGGAATAGGCATTTGCTCATATCTCTCTAGAAAAAGTCGCACAACACCCTTATATAAAAAGCCATATTAGTATAAAACCTACACATACCTCCCTCCACTGCTTTAACACCTAATAAATGTGAGCGCTATGTAAAGGCTTCTTGTATTGATTAGGAAATAACAATAAAAAGCCTGTGCATGTTCAGCACAGACGTGTTTGTTTTTCAAATATTCTTCATTCGTGGTTGGTTGAATTCAAGGACCAACTATGAAAAGAAGCTTGGTTCAGAACCGACAGTATCGCAGTTTCTTACTTCTTGCCCACATTTATTAGAAGTCATCTTCCCGGAATTCAGGAGATAGGAAACATGTCACAAAGTCAATGCTGGATACAGGAGTCCAGGTTTCCAGGTTGGCTATTGCAGACTCACAGCATGGCTCTGGGTAAGTTGTTATCCTCTCTGGGCCTCAGCTTTGCCGTCCACAATAGTGATTTTGGAGAAGATGCCTATTCCCTGGCTGCTCAGAGTGTGTTTGGTGAAAAGCCTTATCTGGAAGCTGGAGGAGGCACTGTCAAAGCTCTAGTGCTGTCTGCCATGCTTAAAGAAGCAAGGTTCTGATGCTTGGTTTCTGTGCTGGGGAGTTTCTGGCCTGCAGGCTTCAGTTGGCCTGGATGTTGGCTCCCTCTACTGGCTCAAAAACAAACTTTTTGGTGGGAGGAGCGGGGCATGACTGGAGCTCATTCCCTTCCGTGGTGGTTGTTGTTGTTGTAACATTTCCAGGTGTGGCTGGACGCTCCTGCACCCAGTTGTCACAGGGACTCCCATTCCTCATGGCTTCAACAGAAGTCACAAGGATTTGGTGTTTGACACACTGCTATTATAGATACTACTCCATCTGAAGCTGAACATTTGCAATCTGACACCAGTGACCCCTGGAGTCATTCTGCACAACCACAAAGGCCATGGGTACTCTGCTGCCTGGGAACCTCACATACCTGGGAATAGGGCTGACCCCAGAAGGCCTCAAAGGCAGGTAGAGGAACTCATACTGAACAACATACTGGTTACAGGGTGAGTTTTTCAGATGGGTAAACTGGGTTTGAGTCCCACCTCCCAAACTGCCCTCATGCAGTTTAAGGTCTCAATCTTTCCACCTCCTCACCTTTAAAATGGACAAGAGTTTGGACTGACCGGAAGCACAGACTACAGACTGAAGACAGCACCTAGCACACGGCAAGTCCTCAAAAGTAAAGGAAACAAAGTTTTCTGGACAGAAAGATAAGCAAAATGTATTACCGCATAAAGCTACAGTTTTCATGGTGTGGTACCAGTTACCTTTCCAACGAGCTATCCTTTGGACTGTGTCTAAAAGGCCAGTAGCTTCTGTGGCATGAGGCTAAATCAACCAAGCCTTGATTTAGATATCATGCTTCCTGGCTGAATTCAGCAAGTCATTTAATCTCCAAACCTTGGCTTCCTTTCTGAGGTCTAGAAGCTGATGCTTAAGAACATAAGCAGGTAGGGAAACTAATTGGTCTACCCATGAATAGAAGGGCCTAGTGCTTCTAAGTGCTGTGGGAAAGCACTTTGCACTTGGCTGTTTGAAGCAAGAGTGTTTATGTAATCAGAAATATGTTTTGAAAAGCTCTTGCCTAGTAGCTGAAAAGCCTCCCCAGAAGAGTTGCGCAAAGCCCTGCAAATACTCCCAAATCTTGTGTCCCAGCTGAGACCCTCCTCCAAGCCAGCTATCTACTTGACATATCCTCTTGGTGTCAAATGGCACAGCTGGACTCAGCAATTCAGGATGTGGATTTCTCCAGGCTCCATCTCCAGAAATAGCATCAGTGGCCCCCCACTGTTTGAAGGTAAATATCTAGGGGTCAACTTTGTGTTCCCTTTTCCTTCTCTACCTACACCAACCCACCAACAAATGTCCACACAAGGTCTTCATCCCCTCCAACCTGTTTTATGTCAAAGCCACAACCATCCTGTGTCCCCAGCCTCTGCAGACCTCTTAAGTGGCCTGCCTGCTCCCAGCCCTTTGACTATGAGCAACAAAAAAAAAAAAAAAAAAAAAAAAAAAAAAAAAAAATCCTCAATCTGATTGGGCAGATTACATGCCTCTAATCCAAATCCTTGGGAGGCTGGGGCAGAACAGAGTTCCAAGTAAATTAGAGCAGTGCCCTATCAGGAAGGGGAAGAGAGAAAGGGGAGGGAGAAGGCAGGCAAACAGAAAGGAAATTACAGAAATGAAAACCCTGAAGTCTGGCCATGACTCTTCTCCGTGTAAGATCCTGCATTACCCACACCCCTTGTGTTGGTATAAACCACTGCCCCTTCTCCATGTGCCTTACCGGGCCAGCCACACTAAGTTCCTTCTGGTTTTCAAGACTTTGGGACATTGTGCCCTCCTCTGGGAACACCTTTCTCCACAGGCACAACCTGTCCTCCTTTTGATCATAGAGCAGTCCCCAATCTCTGTGGCCCTCATATATTTATCACTTTCACTTTTCTTCTGTGTACTTATCACAGTTGAAGACCTTACGGACTTGAGGGGAGCCCATGATCCATCTGCGGTTCCATGCCCTTGTGTGACCCCTTCTCCCTGGTGTGGGACATTCCCAGGACTTACTTCTAAAGAACAGGAGACATGACAAGATATATATATATATATCTTGATGTGTGTGTGTGTGTGTGTGTGTGTGTGTGTGTGTGTGTGTGTGTGTATACGTGCCTGTGTTACTCAAAATGTAATACCCATCTCGTTAAGTCTCTTCCTTGGTGGCTTTGAAGACAGAGACTGCCACTTTGTTAGCTGTCACAAGGAGAGGTACATGAAGCAGGGAACCAGGGTCTCTGTCTGTAGCCCTCAAGGAGCTGAATGTGACCCATGACCATGTGTGCTTAGATGTAGATCCTTTCCCAGACACACCTCAGAGAAGAACCCCCACCCAACCCTGTTAATATTGCTATGTCCTTTTATGCCAGTAGTTACTGCAGATTGTCAATCAGTAATAAATAAATCACAAATACAACTGATAGTTGATCTCTAGTAGACAGTAAATCTTGAGAACAAGGCCAGAGACCTCTGTGTTGCCCAAGACTGAAGTCTCGGAACCCAGCAACTGGACAGCAGGATACCCAGGTCAGACCCTTGCATGAAGTAAAGAGCTGGTCAATAAACAGTAACTGCTACTACTACTACTTTGTGGTGTGGGCAGCCTTGGACAATTCTTGTTCTCTAATGGATGGATCCCTTTTAGGGTCAGGTGAAGCAGAATAGCATAGGATGCAGGAAAGTTGAGAACTTTACATCCCACCGGCCAGTGGCATTGTACCTCACCATTTGTTTCTCCCCAGCAAACTTTTCTTCTGGTATTCCTGTGGGGGCTCCTTCCTTCTCTCCAGCCCCACCCAACTGTGGGGCCAAAGCTGCTGATCTAGACCCTCTCCCAGTTCTTCCATATATACACATGCCATTTGAGCAAATGCTATTATACTGGCCACTGTGATTGGGGGCAAGGTTGGTCACATGACCGAGATCTATTCAATCAGAGCCAAACCTAAAATTTGCACGTACTACTGGTATAGAGCAGCTTCCTTGTGAAGCACAGGGTGCAACGAGAGCTTCAGAAACCTCTTTGTGGGACAGACATGCTGGGAAAGCAGCTCAGTCAGGAAAGCTGGGTGAAATCACATGTGCTCCAGATCTTTATAATGTGCGAAGATCTTGTAGCCAGCCTGGACTACAGGGAGGCCCTGTCTCAAACACAATAGCAAAGATCTCCTCACTGGGTTTTGGTTGATGAAATGATTACCTTTCCAAATCGCTCCAATCCTTTTGGAAACAGTTTTGAGTTGGATGTTGTCTCTAGCAACTAAATAAGCTGTGTTTTGTAGTATAAATGTGAGAAGTCCTCCATAGACTTGTGTGTTCAGTTCCTGGTACCTGCCAGGGGCAGGCCCTGAGGTTCTCAACTGGGCTCAGTTTCCAGTCCTCTAAATGCTTCCTGACGACGTGTGCAACATGACTTGCTGCCATTCCATCCCCACCATGCTGGGCTGCAGTTCCGTTAACTGTAAGCCAGATGAACCTTTCCACCCTGAAGTTGCTACTTGTTGGGTATTTGATCACAGTAAGAAAAGTAACTAATGCCCCAAATTACACAGGATGGGCTGTGAAATCAACAGAGAAATTGCTTTGTTTTGTATGTGTTCCCCAAGGTCCATGTGTCAAAGCCTTAGTCACCAGACCATGGTGTTAATGGTCTAAAAGGAACCTTTAGAGAATGGGGCCTAAGGGGAAGAAGTTAGGTCACTGGGGACTGCCCTTAAAGGGACTACTGGGACCCCAGGCTCTTCTTTCTGCTCCCTAGCCACCATGAGGTCAGCAGGCCCCCCGTCAGGAACTCCAGCCATGTACTATGCCATCACAGGCCCAAATCACCAGGACGAAGGGGCTCTGTGCTGAAACCTCTAAACCCACAAGCTGTGATTTTTCCTTTATAAAGACAATTAGCTCTGGTATTTTGTCATGATAGCAGAAATCTGATTAATGCATGTCTGACATATGAGAATGGGTAGGAAAGAGAACATAACAAGAACCAAATAAATATTTAATAGAATACCATAGTAAATGAAGAGGAAATCACACAGGCTTTTTTTTTTCTTTGTAGTCTTCAGTATGTGTTTGGTTTGTTTGTTTGTTTGTTAAGAAACTGCTTGACACTGCAAGCTCTTTGAAAAAACAATATAAACATATCAAGTGCAAGTATGTCAAAGATCAAGGCGCTCAACAACTAAGCCTTGAGACTTTTTCTAAAGGACTCCTGGCTGCAAGGTTAAGATTGCTTTTCAAGTTTAAAAAGGCCACGATTCCCAGATGTTGCTGCTCTTCTGAGAAAAAAAAGTGATAAAAGGTAGAAGAGCTGGCTCTCTTTGGGTTCTTTCTTTTTACCTCTTATTTCAAACAACTGGGGGAAAAACCCTCTTCTTCATCCCCCGCCCCCAATAAAATGAAACTAAACTTCACAAACAAATCTACCTTACTCCCAGTTGGGGCCTGGGACTCAACCCACAGTCCCTAGTGGTCAAGCTTCCCAGTTCAAGAAGCCTGGGACTCTGCCAAGGTCAAGACTGCATCCTGGGGAGTGGGGAGGGGTGGGGAGGCGGCCGGCCCCTGCAGAACTTTAGACACAGTGAGTGGTGAAGCAGAGCAAGCCTCCAGCCCTCTCTCTGAGTTATGATGCAAGCGGTGAAAGGGAGAGCTTTCCCGGCATGCTTCGAATGCAACCTCTGCTTCCGTTCGGCCCGTCATTCCTGGTAGAGCCCCTCGAAGTCTGTGGACTTCATAGCCAGCTGACAGTCAGTGTTGGCATTTTGCTGGATCAGTGGCCTGTGGGGTGAAAACACAAAATGATTAGCTTAGGAGCAACATCGTGAATGGCCCAGCCACATGTGCAGCACTCTTGGCTGGGGTGTTCTGTGAGTTCTTATCACAGCAGCCAAGAAAGCTGAACCTCTCTCCAAGCTGACTGACATCTGACTAAGTTCTAGCTAACAATGTGTCTTTGGGGAGCATGAGGAGCATCTCTAAGGAGAGACTTCACTTGGTAGGAAGGGTCTCTTGTGCTCGCTTGCGTGCTCGTGAGCTCTCTCTCATGGTGCCCCAGCACCACCCCACCGAACAATGGTCTCCCGTTGGCCTGGAACACTCTGAACAGGCTGGGCTGGCTGGCCAGCAAGCCACAGCAACCCAACTATCTCTGTCTCCCCAGTGCCGAGATTACAAGTGAATACCATGCCTGGCATGTTCATGTGGGTTCTGGGATTCCAAACTCGGATCCTCATTCTTGGGACTTCCACCAGAGCTGTCTCCCGAGCACCTCATCAGGCTACCTTCTGCAGTATAATCTTTAACTCGCAGCCTAATTAAAGCAGAGTTCAAGGATGGGGAGGGATTTTAGCTCCAAAGCATTGGAGGAATAAGCCAAATAGGGCACCATGTGTCCTTTAAAACTGATAGTGATCAAAGCAACTTATGAGAATCTGGCTATGACTCCAGGGATTATCACTTAAGCAATCGTGTGAGAACAACCCCTGAGCGATTTAAGATCACAGACGCATCAACAGAAGATAAGAACAGGATAAACTTTTTGAGGGGAAGGGGAAGGCTAGGGATCAGACCCAGGACCTTGACCAAGCTAGACAAGTGACAAGACAGCCTTTTGTGCTCAGGGTCCTAATGGTTTTTTTAGAGCATGGACTGGCAAATCAATCATGGCCATAGATTTGTAAAGTCTGAATAACGTTTCACTGGAGCACAGCCAGACCAGTTTATTTTCTTATTGCCTGCTCTCACGGTACAGCAGCAGAGCTGAGAGGCTGGCCATGGTTTAAATGCCCTAGAATATTTACTGTCTGTCCCTTTCCAGAGATTGTTGATTATCTATGCCTTATAGCCACTTTATATTTGGCTGAGAGTTTTACCAGACTCAGCTGACCTGGACTTAAGTCCCTTCTCGGCTAGTCTCAGCTTGTGCATTTGGCTTTCATTTCCCAATCACAGAATGAGGCTCACCCCAAGAGTTAAATGAGATGAGGCTGGAATGTGCTCAACAGAGACTTTGGCACTAAGCAATACAGGAAGCAAGTACCTTAGCCACAGTCATCAAATCAGCGAAAACTTAAGTACAAGAGAGACTTGGTATATGGGAACTTAAGAATCTAAAATCTATACGCAGCACAAAAATCAAGTATCAAAACAGTGGCCTTTGAAAACCCCCTGAATAGCAGGAGGTAGCACATTGTGAAAGATTGTCTCCCAAGCACTCCAGCACCGCTGGGTTTCCCTCCAGCATCTAAAAAGGTCACTGTTCCTCCAGCCCCAGGAGCCACACTATGGGGGCAAAAACTCCACATAGTAAACATGAGCCATATTCACCATGTGGAGAAGCTCACACTGTGACAAGCAGAGGAGACCAAGGTAGACTGTGTAGATAGCTACTTCCCAGCTCCTGTACCACCCTGGGAGGTAGGCATGGCAACCTGATGAACAAGCCTCCTGTTGTTTACCTGCCTCCCAAACCTCCTAAACTCTACCCCTCTTTGGCCTTTGTACATTAAAAAGATATCTTTTGAAGAGAGTAAGTAACTGCCTCACAAAGCTACTACAGCCAAGAGGTGAGCTCTATGGGTGATGGACGAGGGTAGTGATGCTTGTATGTATGTGTGTACGACACTCTACTGTGAACATGGAGCTGACATCTAATGTCTACAGGCAACTGTGAAGAACACCCATCTCTTATAATATGGCTGCTAGACACCAAGTGGGAGCAGAGAGTTAATCTGTGAGAACCCCTCAAATGCCCAAGATTGAGTTGTTCCATTGACATGTATTTACCTGGGAGAAAACCAGTAGCTCATGAGGCAGGACACGACCACATAGGACATCATGGCTATTCCTGACATGGCAAGCGATAGGAAGCCCAAGCCACAGAGGATGCAGAGCAGTGAGAGGCCGCACACAGAGATGATCAGTCCTAGGGGGAGAGCATGGTTAGGAGGTGCCTTCATCTGAAATGGACTGAAAATGAGAAGACCCTGGGCCAGGGTATTTAAAATAGTGCCAGCTAACTCGGATTTTTGAAGTCAGGAGGTTTGCCATAAAAATTCACATTTCTGACATCATTTTTAATGGCAGGAAGTTCAACACCTAGGTAGGCCTCAGCTTCTGGCATCAACCGGCTGGGCCTCTGGTTGCCTCCATTCCCTACTGTTCACAAACTATATTACACTTGGGGTCACTTTGCTTGTCTTGTTGCCTGTCTAATTTAAGGCTCATAAGGAGTAAGTCACATCCCAAATCACAATAGTGGTAATGGATGGCTGATGGAACATAAGAGACTGTGTTTTAACTACTCTGACAAGCTGCCTTGGACCAGAAAGACTTGTCTTTGATAAGAACGGCAGATGTTCAACAAAAACTGTCCACCCTATTGAATTACTTCCCAATAACCTTGGGCAGAGTACCTTCCAGTATTATGGCCCCCATAAGAGCACCCAGGGAGGTGAGCACCACGATGAGCAGGAAGAAGCCGACAGGGATGGCTGACATGCTAACAAACATCAGCATGGTGAGAGCCAGGAAAGGATGCTTGTCCAGGTACCGACCCACTGGGGACTTCATGAAGGCAACCACCTGCAGGCAAAGGACAAAAAGCCAGGGTTAAGCACTGTGTCTAAATCTCAGACTGAGCTGATCTGCCCCAGCTGTGGGAAGTACAGCCGGAGGCAGAGGCCTCTGGCAAGTCAGAGGCTCACAGACATCAGTACAAAACATCTCCCAAGACATGAGGCACCTGGCAGCAACATAAGGAAGCTGTGGGGAGGAGGGCAAGTGTGAGGTTCCCACCCAGTGTCAAGTCCTGTGAGAGGAGGAAAGGTCAGGTCACCGCTCTCTTGCCTAACACACACCCTCTCTGAATAACACCCTCTTATGTGTGCAATGTGCCTACTCCTCTGCAGACAAGGTTCTCATGACTAAGGTCACCAAGGAACAGAAGAGTTAAGTCCTAGCTACTCAGCATCACTCACAGGCTTATTGGAGATGAGGAGCATTAGGCTCCACCTGACACCTACTGCATCCAATTCTGCTTTTCAACAAGAACCCAGGTGCTCTGTGTACACATTAAAGTTTGAGATGCGATAGACTAAATGGCTTCTTTGGAGTCACCCAGTTTCCAAGGGACAAAGCCTAGATATTCAGACTTTGGATCTTTGACTCCAAATGCCAAATGCATACAATGACTTGCAACCTCATCAATGCTTCCATGGTACCAAGCTGGATGCTAGAGTTGGCTACAGACTGATGACGGCAACCATATATTGCTTTAAGAAACAGATTGCCCTCCTTCACCAGGCTAAGGGATAGGGGAACCACACTCTACGGAGAAGGCTGCTTTAGTGCAGAGTTGGTCTTAGTCAATCTCACAAGGATGAGCATCCCCCTCAGTTTTCAGGTCTCAGGGTTTCACTCTCCTCATTACCAGCACTGGAGCCCATTCCCTGAAAGACCCCATCACTCAAACACCTTCCTCTAGAAAAGTAACCACCAACCCAGCTACCAACTCTGCAGTCTACAGCAATGACTTGCCTGCATGTGCAACAGCAGCACAAATACTGTGGGTGTAACCACTCTATGATGAGATGTAAGGCCCACGCCACAAAATGGAACCCATGCATGCTTCACCCTGCTCCCGTGGCCAAGAATCTAGACTAGATAGGCCTAGGGGAAACCCAAATCCTATTGTTCTGCTAAAGAAGCAGTGGTAAAATGACCCTAACTACATTCTGCTATACTTATAGATCAGTGCCTCACTCAGCCGTCAGCAAAGACACTTCTTCCTGCAGGAGACAGGACTAATGCAGAGACACCCAGCTGGAAAACTGTATAGAGAATGAGAGATTTGGGAATATTCAGTCCTAAATGGGATGCCTTCATCAAACCCCTCCCCTCAGGGTTCACAGAGTGAAAGAGGAAGCAGAAAGATCTAAGAGTCAAGGGGAATGGAGGACTCCAAGGAAACAGCATCTTCCAGACACAACGGGACTACTGCACATATGAACTCACAGAGACGGTGGCAGCATGCACAGGGCCTGCACGATTTCAAGGTGGACATCTTCCCAGCACTGAGAGGGTCAAATGCACATGGGCTTCCATCCCTAACTAAGACGCTATCCACTTGCAAAGGAAAAATGAATTTCTTTAAATGAAGTCTCACTAGCATATGAGTAGGCTCCATGCCCAGCGGAAGATGGCCAACACGAAATGAACTCAATGGTATTTTTGTAGACTTTTTGTCTCATAGTGCTCTGTTTGGGCATTTTTTTTTTTTTGTCTTACTGGCCTTTTGTTTATATATTATGGTTTCCAATTTTGTGTTTTTATGGATTTTGTATGTGTGTGTTTCTTATGTTATTTTCTTTTTGTTTATTATGCTTTGTTTTTTGTTTGCCTGTTTAGGATTGGTTGTTTTTTGTTTGTTTTTTGTTTTTGTTTGTTTGTTTGTTTTGTAGTCCTGGAACTCGCTCTATAGACCAGACTGGCCTCAAACTCAGAGACCCACCTGCCTCTGCCTCCCAAATGCTGGGATTAAAGGTGTGCACCACCACTGTCCAGTGTGCCTGTTTGTTTTAAAGGGAGAGGAAGAAAGGGCATGGAGTTGGGTGGGTACCGACTATCTGGGAGGAGAAGGAGGAAGAGGAGGAAACCAGGACGGAATATATTGTATAAATTTTTTTTTTCAAAAACATAACAGTGAATAAAAAGAAAAAAAAAAGCTGGGGGCAGGGAGCACTTCCTCCATCAAAAACTGGTCTTTCCTGTGTCTCATTCCTTAGGACCTTGGAGGCCAGTGGCTGAAATGAAGTGCAATTATCAGAAGTGCCTTTTTCCAAATCACATACTTGTCCTAGAAAAAGATTTCCATCTAAGTAATCCTATGGGTGGGAATTTGGAGGCAAGTTAGAAACAGGAGGGTTTACAGCTCAGGTGATGGCAACCAAGCATGGCTCACCTTGCTTAAACAGAGAAGGCCATTCAGAGCATTCAGAGAAGCCACAGACACTGTCCTGGGCTTCATTCAACACTGCCTCCTAAAACATGACAAACTTCACTTCCTGGCACACCACACAATGTCTTCTAGCCATGCTGCCTCCTGCCTTCCAAGATCTTGTGGTAAGCACACCAGGAACCACCTCTGAGACCGACCTACATTAGGGCATTGAAGGAGAGGGAGGCGGATAAAGTTTGTGAATGCTGAAGAAATGGAAATCTGGCACCTGAATGAGACATGCTCCATGTGTTTGAGGGAAAAAAAATCAAGGATATCTCATTAATGGTTTCTTAAAATAACCACAGACTTAAATCATAGTTTAGGCTATATTCAGTTTCATTTCATGGGTTCCTTTTTTATTATTTATTTTTAATTTGAGATAGAGTGCCTTGAACTTATAATTCTCCTGCCTCATAACTGGAGTGCTAGGATGATAAGTAAAAGTCACCACCCCTGGCTCATTTTGTTTTAAAATAAAAACATTTTAATAAAAACATTTAAATTACTTTTGTGACTCAGATTTGTCTATTGTACTATGTAAGTTTTATCTCAGAGAAAAATAAATAAGGGGTAAATTGAGAGCACGTGGCTGGGGCTGTGACATACACAAAGGAGAAATTTAAGTAAGATGAACCTGGGATAGGTATGCAAGAGGCAATTAGGGAGATTTACAGGATACCAGGCAAGAGTATGAGTGGGCAAATCTGGGCCAGTGCGGGAGGGGAGGGATGTAGCCTGCAGATTAAATGACAAAAGAGAAACCAATAGGACCTGGGGACAGTTTTGGCATGGGGAATCCAAGAAGCAAAAGGTAAGAATGTCCTACTTCCAGTCCTCAGAGAACCACCCTCTTTCAGAACCTCTTCTGAGTTTGGCCTCTAAACACCCCCCAAACAGAAGATCATTCAGAAATGCAAAGACACTATTTTTAAAGAGTGTGCCAGTTAAAGCAGGAATGGTGGCACATAGATATAGCTAATTCCAGCACTTGGGAGGCAGGAGGATTGTGAGTTTGAGGCCAGCTTGGGCTGTCTATCAAGATCTCACATTAGGGAGGAAGGGAGGAAGGGAGGGAGGGAGGAAGGGAGGAAGGGAGGAAGGGAGGGTGAGGGAGGGAGGGAGGGAGACAAGAAGGAAGGAAGGAAGGAAGGAAGGAAGGAAGGAAGGAAGGAAGGAAGGAAGGAAGGAAGGAAGGAAGGAAGGAAAGCAGGCAGCAGGCTGGCAAACGATCCCCATCGCCAATACATTAAACCATGTGGTGGTTTGAATGAGAATGGCCCCATAGGCTCAGATATTGGAGTAACTGGTCCCCAGCCAGTGGTGCTGACTGGGTAGGTTTATGAGCTGTGACCTTGCTGGAGGAAGTGTGTCACACTGAGGGCGGGTTTTGAGAGTTTAAAGACTTACACCATCATGAGGTTGTTCTCTGCTTCGTGCTTGGGGTTGAGGTGTGAGCTCTCAGCTATTCCTGCCACCATGCCTGGTGCTTGCTGCCACGCTTCCCCGATGTGATGGTGAAGGACTCTTAGCCCTCTGGAGCCATCAACCCAAAATAAACCCTTCCTTCTGTAAGTTGCTTTGATCACAGCAATAGAAAAGTAACTAAGACAAAACAGTCAACCCAAGAATTGCTTTCTCTGGGAAAGAATGACCTTCGTCAGGACAGAATGTCGTGGGAGACAGCATGGTTCATGTGTACCTAATGATTACACTCATTAAACACAGGTTCCAGGCACCTTTTTAATAGTCTAACCAATGGGCTTGCATCTTGCCAAGTGCAAAGCCAAAATAAGCAGGGCCACAAAGACCCACTACCTGCAGCAGGAAAGGAGATTGCAGGGGTCATTCCCAAAGTAACACCCTCGAGCAAGGGAAGCGGGAGGTTCATCCAGAGAGCTACACATATCCACATAGGAAAACACTTTAGAGGTCAGCTTGAGAAGGAAAGATTCGGGAACATGCTTAACTCAAGGTCATAAAGCACATGTTCAAAAGGTAAAAACAGCATGCAGGAGTACTTTAGGGCACTCTAAGCTCATGCTACTAAAAATAGTGATGTGAACTCCTCTGGAAACACCCAGTTCTCTCTCTTTCTCTCTCTCTCTCTCTCTCTCTCTCTCTCTCTCTCTCTCTCTCTCTCTCTCTGTATGTGTGTGCATGCTCACTTGGGTGCACATGTGTGTGTAACACATTTGAAGGCCAAAGGATACCCTCAAGTGTTGTTCCTCAGGCACTGTATATCTACCTGTCTCTCACTGGCCTGGAACTCACCAAGTAGGCTAGACTGGCAGGCCACCGAGCCCCAGAGATCCACCTGTCTCCACCTCCCCAATACTGGCATCTAAGTATAAGCCATCACTCCTGTATTCTTTTTTAGTGACAGTTCTGAGAATTGAACTCAATTCCTCAGGCACCTTACCTGCTGACCATCCCTCCGCCCAAGCCACTTTTAATTGAAGAGAAACAAAGGCTACTTTGAAAGTATGCAGTAAGGGTTTCTCCCCTAAAGGTGCCTGGCTAGCTTAGCAGCTAACATGTCAGGCCCTCCATATATGTCTTCAGGTATTTTCCCCTACAAAGTTGCAGGGCAGATACTGAAGAGCATCTTAACAATACCCCAGACCAAAGGCTTCATACATCACCATGTTTCGCTTTCCTGGCAACAGACAGAATGTCACAATAGGAAGAAAGAGAGAGAGGTTAGCATGCTGTGGCATGCCCTGCAATTTTCTATCGCTAACCTGGAGGGAGAGATGGGACTCCTACCCAGGCTTTAACCGACGTGAGCTGCACTGAACAACCCAGGATGCCAGACTTCGAGAAAATGGCACCATCATAGCCAGACTAGTGCAAGAGCCTTCTCAAATGGCATCCCAGATAATCCTCCCAGCAGCCCAAGGCCTGGTGTTGCTCATTCCAGATAAGAGGAGCTGGAAACGAACTGAATTAATGTACCCAAGGTCAGACAAGAGCATTCATTTATAAATGCACTCTGGCTTGAGAGCTTCTAGAATCAGGCCCACGTGGTCAGGATGTGTGACAAGATGGTTCCACCTGAGGCTATTCACAGCCAGGAAAACTCTCTACTGTGAGAATGTAAGACAATCGACTCACTGTTTCTCACTGCCTTAGAGGAGAAGGACCTGGTGGACAGAGGACAGCGACAGCAGTCAGGATCACGACACAGTGATAACACGTCAGAGGCACCGTGCTACAACAGCCTCTCCCAGATTAGGCTCTGGGTACCTGCTGGTACATGATCTAGGTACGGCACATGGATTCCTGGGAGGTGGCCCTAAAATCTTCCTCATGCCAAGGAAGGTCCGAAATGAGAAGAAAATCATCTGTCACAGGTAATTCACATCAGGAGATGCCAACCTGGTCACCCACGTAGTGGTGTTCTGTGTTCCGCTTCCCTGAAAACTGCTCCTTCCCCCAGCAGGAGGGCACCCCTGACATGTACATTTCAAACAAAATCCAAGGTCCCAGTCCAACGGGCCACAGGTGAATGAATGTACCAACAACACTCGTGTTTCCACGGATAGGAAACTGAAACTCCTAGATCTTCAACAGGTGCTAAAGGAGACATGAGGAGAGGAGGGTACCAGCCTGGACAGCCGTGTGTGCCCGTGTGAATGGAAACACCAAGGGAAGTAGGCTGCAGAGTCTGGGGATGAAGGGAATACACAAGGAGCTAATGTGAGAAGCTACACAGCCAAGGAAGAGGCCTGTTGAGAGCTACTTCTGGCACCAGCCACCAGCTTGACCCTGGTTCTAGTCCAGAGACAGCCATGCTTTACTCCACCCACGGCTCCTGGGGACGGCTTAAAGTCTGTTAAAGTCATGGAAGGTCCTACTTGTTCGCTTGCTTAAACTATTTAAAGCAAGTTCTTGTCTCTTGAATTCTGGAAGTAAGACCATTAAGACCTGGACAAGCACTACAGACAGGATGGAGCAATTTCATACCCATTCCATCTAGAGGCCTATGCAGCCTCATCTGAAGTTCAAAGAGCTCATTAAACTGTGAGAAAAGAGCACAAATTACATGAGGGAAAGAAGCAATCTACATTTCCCAGAGACAAGGGGTGGCTATATGAATTATGGTATGTCAATCTGATATCTTATGTTGATGTTCTAGTGGTACCTGTAAATTATTCTGAAGTCCCACACTTCAGCATGAAAAAACAGCACCCTACCAAGTGAAAATAAGAATACACAATTACATCTGCTATGGTTACACTCACTAGTATGTAAACATTACACACTGAAGGGTCTTACTACTCACTGGGGTTACCACCACTGTTTGTAAGTGATGGCTTTTGTTACGATTTGAATATAAAGCAGCTCCTGCCGATTCACATGCTGTGAAGCCTTGGTCCCCAGCTGCTCCTGCTGGTTTGGATGGTTGTGGAAATTACAGGAGATAGAGCATAGCTACAGGAAGAGGGTCACTGGGGACATGTCCTTGGGGCTACGTTTTACCCTATGTATTCATGAAGCAATCTCTGTGTGTGTGTGTGTGTGTGTGTGTGTGTGTGTGTGTGTGTGTGTGTGTGTGTGTTGTCTGTTTGTCTGTCTATCCCCACCCCATCCCCCTGGTTACCGGCTACCATGATGTGAGTTACTCTGTTCTATCCTGCCCTCTGCCCCAGGATGATCTAAAACCATGAAAATACCTAAACCCTTCCTCCCTTATGTTGTTGCTCAGGTGTTTGTCAAAGCAACAGAGAGTCTGACTGACACAGTACATAGGTGCTTTGTTCTCCTTTTTCTCTCAAAGTCACTTTACACTAACGTAACCTGTGGGCTGGAGAGGTGGCTCGGTGGTTAAGAACACTCACTGGTTTTGAAGAGCATTTGAGTTCAGTTCCCAGAACCCACACAGGACAGCTCACAAGCGCCTGCAACTCCAGTTCCAAGGATCCAATGCCCTCTTCTGGCCTCTGTAGGTACTGCATGCATGTGATGCACATACATGCATTCAGGCACAAACCATCTAGCACACACATACACATAAAATGAATATTTTTAAAAGGAGAGGTAACATAACTTAATATACTAAAAACTTGTAAGAGACATAATTCCATCTCAAGACTACATGAGAACCCCAGGCCATAGAGAACTGACAGGTTCCCCACCTTTCTGAGTGGAACTAGCTGGGTAATTATCTCGCCCAAACCTACTCTGGTGTGCACAGCTGAGTTGTCGAAAGGAAAGAAGAAGAAGAAAATTCATCTGCTTTGAAATGCCTACTTCAGAAGGTAGGTATAAATATTAACTAAGATGTGCTAGATGCCTGGTAAAAGGTTGGAGTTTAGTAAGGCCTCAATCAGGTTAATAAACACACAATCCTTATCATCTGCAATCCCATGTTTGAGGATTTTTCTACTCACTTAAATTTATTTGGAACCTAAAATGAGTCCTTTGAGCATCTTTGATGTCAAGACTGAGTCATCTGACAAGCACATTCCCAGCTTGTTATGGTTTGAGCCTGAAACTCAATGAAGTCTCACCTCTGAAGATTCTAGCTCCCCACAACCACGCCTTGGCCAAGCCTTTAGCATGTGGGCCTCTCTGGGACACTGAAGAATCAAACTATAGCATCATGGCCTATTTAATGCCACAAAGTTCATATTTTTGATTTCTGGTTGACAATCTCAATATTTAAATTGCACATTTTTTAATGCACATTGCCATGACCACCACCACCAGTATCTTTTTGTTACAGTTCCTTATGAAGAAGATGTGTGTGTTTGTTTGAGACATGAATCAGCCTGCTGCTGGCCCTGCGTTCAATGCCAACAATCAACAGTGTGCATTATAGACATTAATGTATCTTTCCAGGAATACACATAAGATAAGGACCATATACTCATCTGTTGTGACTAGAAGCTTGAAGGACCTGAGTTCCTTATTTCCTGGAGAACCAGTGGTCTGTTTGGTATTTTTGAATCTAGTGTCTATGATGCCTTTACAGAGAACATCTCCCAGAAGTCATGAGAATGAACTGTAAATGTGCAAAGGCCATGAGGACCTTTCTTACTGAGCCAACTCACTAAATAGAGTCTTGGCCAACTAACTAAAAAGCTGCTGGTCCATTTTAAAAATAGCCTGGTAAATCATCAGTATGCCAAATGCATTCTGAAGCTTGTCCCAAAGAAGACTTCTGTGAAGCATATGACTTTAGATGGCAAAGAATCTGTTTTCTAGATGCTGGTGAAATGTGCTAATAGGAAAAAAAATTACAAAACAGTTCCCATCACTTTATATGCATACATATTTTAAGTATACATGGCATAGAAGTCCAGAAAGATAAAATTGTAATAGTATTAGCTAGCTAGCACTGGGTTTTTTTTTAAATCTTTTTGTATATATGTATATACAATGTAAGTGAATGTGTGTGTTTTCATGTATGTGAGTGCATACATGCAATGGTACCCATGTGGAAGTCTGAGGACAGCCTCAGGTGTTGGCCCTTGCCTCCTACCTGTTCTTTGTAACAGGGTCTCCTTGGGATTTTGTTTTGTTTTGCCACTGAATAAGATAGGCTAGCTGGCCCACAAGCTTTCCAGGACCCTCCTGTCTCCACCTCCCATGTTGCTATAGAAACACTGGGATAATAGAGATGTGCTTCTGCACCCATCTTTATGTGGATATGGGAATTAAAACCTACATGCTTATGATAGCCAGACAAGAGCTTCACCCACTTAACCTAGATTTCAGAGTCAGTACAAAAAGGAATGTAAAATATTTTCTTTTCTGTTAATATTTATAATGACTACATGCTGAAACGATACTATTTTTTGATATATTAACTAAGAGATATTCTTAAAATTAACCCATTGCTTCTTTGTACTCAGGGTTAGGTACCAAAAAATTTTAGTGCACATGTGACTAAAATCACATTTCTGTTGGGTGACGGATTTCTAATGAAACACAAAACACAGATCTTAAACTAGGTATTGGCTGGCCCCTTTCTTAGGGGAATAGATGAGCCAAACTTTTCATAGAAAAGAGTAGTGTCTGCCATGTGGACCTAAAGTGGCCTCTTTCAATCCAGGGGAAGATGGCAGTCGCCATGACAGGTGACTATCCAACCAAAGTCTGCATTCTGTGGGATGTAACTGGAAGTGGTCTGCAATTCTCTGTGACTTCCAGGAATCTTCCTTAGTTTGGAGGTGGCTTGAAAACAATTGTTCTTCCCACTCCCCTGCTGTCCTATCGCCTCAAATGTCAGTTTGGTGGCTGACGCTCTAGGAGCCACAATGAACATGGCCACAACCCAGACATAGCAAGGTGCTGTGAGAAAGACTCTTGACTTCCCTGTAAATTCCTATTTGAGGAAGAAACAGCGTTCTGTCTTGTTCAGCCCAGTGTTAACTTCCCATTATACATGGCATTGGAGACTGACCTTTGAGTTACTCTGGAAGGACTCCAGCACCAAACACAGTTTCCTCTGCAGCTCCTGTAAGTCTCTGGAGACACTCGGGGGCTCTTCTTTGGCCATCTTGAAACGTCCTTCAGTCTCGCTCTAGATTATTTCTTCTACCAGTAAGTTCACTGATGCAGCATGTAGCCCAATCTCTCATGTCGCCTGTCTCTTGCTATCACTGAAGAAAACAAAAAGTTTCTTGAATCATTAGTGGTCTCCAAGGAGCTTGTGCCATCCCCTACATACTGACGGTGGGCATGCGGATGGACATATCTTGATAATATTTATCAAATTTTTAAGCTGCACACACTTTGATTCAGCAATTTATTTATCGTGAACCTAAATGAAGATAATAGATATATGAAAATATACCCAAAGGTATATAAACAGAAAATCACATTCCTGTTTATAATACATAATGACTAGCAAGCTAGAAGGAAGAAATAAATCCATATATTACAAACACTTCACTGTTTTACACACACACACACACACACACACACACACACACACACACGGTATAGAAAAAGAGCTAGGAAGACATGTATATCTTTTAGCCTAATGTTGAAAGAACATTTGACAAACAAGAAAACTGAATTACTGTTCAATCTCCCACTCCCAGTCTCTCTTTTCTCCTCCAATGGGGACTTGGGATGCTCTCTCTTCTTTATTTGGCTCCTAGGCACATAACACAGTGCCACCCTTTATTTATGTATGGCGAGGTCCTCACTAACAATACCCGTCCCCAAGGCCGTGGCACAATTATTTTCTGTCACTCAACAGCCTGGAATTTGCAAGACTTCCCATTGTTTATGCGTTTTTCACGAAGGCAATGAGCCAAATTAGATACACTTTTAGCCCTGGTTGAGTTTTCAAATAAAAAAAATATTATTCTTATTTTCTGTTTCCCAGAACATCTGTCTGGGTTGGACAGAACGGGATCTCTGCCTGTCTCCTGGCAGACAACCTCCTGATCTCACATAATTGTGTCAGTAGATTCTGTCACAGTGCAAAAGTAACTGAGAGCGCCTCACGTCACGTTTATTTACCATATTGAATATCCCACTTGCCTATCATGTGTTACAGTGAGGAAACATACCTTACCACTGTCTACACTACAGTCTAGTGTGCAAAACAGTTCTCTCCTCTTGGCCAGGGAAGAACTAACTCCTGCACCCATATTTATGTCGTTAATGCAGCAGCTGGCATTGATACTGAATTTAGGATGGTCCCAGCCTTCAGGTCACCTAATCTCATATCTACTGCGGGCTAAAACAAGCCCAGCTGCCCCCTTACAAGTCTTCTTTGCCCTGGGAAAGAAGTGCCATCCAGACCTGTCTGGGGAGTCTGATGGAGGCAAGCGTGGGAAGAAGGCGGAGGACCACAGTCGGCACACGCATTTACCTAGCCACCAGCCAATTCCCAGGCCCTCTACTCCTTCTAGGGTCCCTGTGCAGACACTAAGCAGCGTCTTAGGGAAGGACAGAAGGCGCCACCCCAACTAGCCTAGGGCGCCCCGCCTACTCTGAGCTTGGGGGCCTAGCTAGGTTCTCAGAGAACAGGCCCCGCCCCTTACAAGGCTCCAAATAAAGCCTTGCCTCCCGACTCCAGCGTCCCAGGAGCAAACCGCCACCGTGAACGTTCCAGCTGCGGGTTGGGTCGAATCCCCAAGCTGTGGACAGGGCCTTCCGGACGCCTGGAAACCTATCCCGCCCGGTCCCCCTTTCCGATGAGTGTTGAGACTTTCCATCTAAGGGCGGGGATCCAGAGAGAAGGAAAGGGTGTGATGCAGATGTAAATTTGACCCCGGACCACCCGGCCCCAAAACTAAGAAACGGAACTCAGGGTAGTTGGGCACCCTGTCACTGATCTTCTGGGGCAAACCCACCTTTGACACCTGCAGCTCCCTCCTACTGTGCCTCATGGCACCCCTATTGACCAGTCCTAGGGAGGAGCTGTGGATGCCCAAGCAAGGCTCCAAGTCTTCCCATGCAGGTTTCCCAAAAAGGAGGCAGGGCCTCGTTCGCGGATTGGCACTGGCGTGTCCCCCCCCCCCTCCTTTTTTTAAACCAGATCTAGCTGCCGGTGTAAGCGCGGGGATGGCTGAAAATGGATCTCCCCGTGACCTCCCACCCGCATCAGGTACCTTCAAGACCAACCCAGAGGCCAACAGCTACAGACGGAGGAAGCTAGTGCACTCTCCCTTGGTCGCCCCTGAACTCTTCCACTTCCCAGGCCGAGCTTGGAGGATTCAGCTAGTCGAGGTCCCCTAAACTCCACACCCCACAGCTTTGCTTTCTCACCTGGTGCTAGCTGCCCCGATACCCAGCTCTGCAGCCACCGAGGGCGAGAAGCGAAGTGGAAGAAGAGACCCGACTCAGGCCTGATGGTGGACCCGAGCTAGACTTGCTCCTCCCCACCCGCAGCGCTCTTCCTTCAAAGGCCGAAGCCACGCCCTTCTATCACGCCCCTCTCCCAGGCCCCGCCCCTCAGCCAGGATTGGCACTGGTCCTCCACCCAGGCACAGGTCCCTGCCCTGCCTTTCCAGTCAGAAGAGGAAGGATCGGGTATCCTGGCACCCAGCCGCGCGGCTGCCAGCTTTGCTAGGCGCATTCGCTTCTTCCCACACACTCTAGGAACAACCCCTACAAACTTCTAGACTCTAGAGGATGACTAATGAGGAAATGAACGCTTGGAGACAGTCACTTCCTACAGCAGTGGCTTGGAGTGAAAGTCCTGGGGCCCCCGTCTCAGGTGGACTGGCAGCCAAATGTGGGTTTTTAGAGGAATTTAGGGTTTCCCCTTCTCCATACAGATCCAGTTCTGGACTCACCCCCGGAGTTCAAGTCTCACAAGTCCGTGAGATACCTCCTAGACTGGAAAGTCTAGGCGTTACGCAAGTGCAAATGTTAGCAGCCAGGGAATCTTAGAGATGGATTATCTCCATTTTACAGATTTAAATACAAAAATAACAACAACAAAGAAAAAAATGGAGAGCCAGAGGGCTAAGGTTTATGAATAAACTCAAATTCTCTTCTCAAGGATCCACGGCAGAGAAACCCATGTTTCCTGGTTCCAAATCCAGGCCTGAGGAGCACAATTACTCAGTGGCAGTGCTATTGGCATTTGAGATGCGATGAGTCTGTTTCTGAGATGTCCTGAGAGCACTGAGGGGTGTCTGGAAGCATTCTTGGGTTCTACCCACGAAAAAAATACAAATATGGTAACATCCCCTCCCAGCTGCGATGGCTGAAAATGTTTTCAAGGGACTGGGGGATGGGGCGCAATCATCTGGTATTCAGAAGCACTGCCTTTGAACTTACAGGGAAAAACTATGGGCTGGGACTCTGGAGTCCCCATCTCAGAGCCCAAGTCTATCTGTGGCTGTGTGGTGTTGGTGACCTTACCTCTCATAGGGGAGCATGGGGAAACAAAGGTGTGTCTCTGAAGTTTTTAATTTCAGACACTCTTGTCCGGCTACATGCACTTTCTGTAGCTGCAGTATGATACATTTCCCACCCGGGGGGGGGGGGGGGGGGGGGGGGGGGGGATGGGCTTGTTTTCCTTAGACCATCAGGCCCTGGTAGATACTGCTGTGGAAAATGGGGACTTCTTTGGGATTTCAGCTTAAGGGTGCCATCTAGGGGCACCTCTTTGAATCCTCTGCCTCCCCCCACCAACAGCATTTATTTTTAAAGGTCAGTAGGTTTTGCTTTTCCTGGAGTGTCACTGCCTCTTCTACAATACCTTGTGTTTCTCATCGGGGGGTCTAGCATCTCTGTAGCATCGAGAACTTGGCTCTTGGTTAACGTTCAAAGGATTCATAAAATAAACCCCTGTGAAGCCTCTCCGAGCTTTCCCAGAGTTTTCTACAGCAATGGACTGAATAGTTTTATCCCTTTGTCCCTCAGTGTGATGGTATTAGGAGGCGGGGAACTTTGGGAAGCCATTAGGTAAGAAGATGAATGGGATTAATGCCTTATAAAGGGGGGAGGGGGAGAGTTTTCTTGCCTCTTTCTACTAGGGGAGAGCAGAATAAAAATCTGGCAGTCTAGAATCCTCCCTGTAATCTCGCCATGTTGACATTCAAACTTCCATCCTTTTGAACTATGAGAAATAGTTTCTTGTTTTTCTTTGTTTTGTTTTGTTTTGAGGTTGTTTATTTGAATAAGCCACTCAGACTTCAGCCCTTTGTGATAGTAACCCCAATGAGCTAACACACTTGTCCTGGTTAAGCAATTCTTCCTCAGTCCTCTAAGATCTACTCTGACTGCTGGCTCTAAAGAATAGGAAATGGGGAGGGGGAGCAATTCTTTAACAATGAATTGACTCTGTTACTAGCCAGAGCCAGAACATGACCTAAATCCAGCTGACCTCTCCTCCCTAGGTTGCCAGATTTAGAAATTTGCCTGAAACTATAAGACTCTCAGTTAAATTCCTTTATGAGGCAAACAACTTATAACTTCTTGCTATAAGCATGTCTTATATGTATTTGGGGTATATTTATTTTAAAAGGTATTTTTGCCTTAGAAAAATGCTTACCTGAAATTCTGAGTCACTTGGCAACCCTGGGGATTTGGAGCTGAGGACAATGAGGGTCTTAAGGCTGACATCATTTCTTAAAAATAAACAGACAAGTGCCCTGAGAGATTAGTTCTCTCTCTCCCTCTTCCTTCCCCTGCCCCTTCTTCCATCCCCCCCTCTTCCTTTCCCATCTCTTTTCTCTTTTTGGAGACATGGTCTCACTTTTAGCCCAGCCTGGCTCTCATCGTTCCTCAGTCTACACATAAGTTTTTAACTAAAGCCGTGATCAGTTTTCATAACCACATTCAAGTCCCAATTTTGCTGTTGACCTATTGGAGTGACTGTAGGCAGGTTGCTTGGTTAGTTAGTTGGTTGGATGGTTGGTTAGTTTAGTGTCTATATTCCCAAACAAAAAAAATTGGGAAAATGAGACTTTCTCTTACATTGTTGAGAAGATGCCCTTTATGTAGTGGGCATGAATACCAGCCGATCACATGTCAGTAAACAGGTCTTCTTGTTTTAATGCCCGTGAACATAACTAGTTTTTAAAGCATATTAAATTTCAGATGGAGCCTATCTTGCTCCACAGGAGGCCATGGACTCATTAGTAACATACTCATCTCTTTCCACTTTTCACATACATGGATGAGAGTCTCTCAGACGTGCAATTCACTGATACAAAGGGCTGACTCTAATCACTCTATGTTTGTGTGTGTGCTGGGCGTCAAATCCAGACCTTGTGTGTGATAGGCAAGTGCTCTACTACACTTGAGCCACAGCCCAGACCCTCTACATACTTTATGGTAAGAAACATGAGCATAAGGGATGAAGACAGTCAGGTTATGTGGTGATATTGTGTGCCCCAATATATTGTGCACTCTAATAAACTTATCTGGGGTCAGAGAACAGAACAGCCACTAGACAGACATAGAGGCCAGAAAATGGTGGCACACACACTTTTAATCCTAGCGTTCTGGAGGCAGAGATCCATTTGGATCTCTGTAAGTTCAAAGCCACACTGGAAACAGCCAGGCATGGTGACACACACCTTTAATCCCAGGAAGTGATGGCAGGAAGCAGAAGGGTTTATAAGGCGTGAGGACCAGGAACTAGGCTGGTTAAGCTTTTAGCTTTTAGCAGCAGTTCAGCTGAGATCCATTCGGATGAGGATTCAGAGGCTTTCAGTCTGAGGAAACAGGATCAGCTGAAGAATTGGCAAGGTGAGGCTAGCTGTGGCTGGTTCTGTTTCTCTGATCATTCAGCGTTCACCCCAATACCTGGCTCCGGGTTTGTTTTTATTAATAAGACCTTGTAAGATTCGTGTTACAAGGTTATTTTGAAGTATAGAGAGCCAAATCTTGACTGTAAAGTGAGAAAAAAAGAAACCGAAGGAACTGCAAACGTTTGTGCCCTGGGCAGTTGTTCTATAGAAAGAACAGTAAAAAAGCTTCGTTCTGTAGCTGCTCTGATTAGGACAAGCTAAGGTTGGAAAACTATGCATCTCTGCATTGGTTTCCTCCCGATAAAATAGGAACATCATGAAGTTAAGGAGGAAACTGGATGAAGAAACAGACAGGCACCATAGCGTACTGAAAGAGCTTGATAAGTCTAACTTGGTTTTCAGAGAATTTTGAAAGCAACCATGTGATAAGTGCTCTGAATGTGGAGGCCGTGGTGGATCTTAGGTACTCATGTGTGAGAGTATATGTGCTTGGGTGCCTGTAACTATAATATTGGTGCTAGTCACAACATTCACAAAGAACCTATTGCATTGAGTGACAAGAGTATCCCAACCTGCTCTGGACAGACAGCTACACCTGCTGGGGGTGTAGGTCAGTCGGTAGAGTGTTAGCCTAGCAGGCACTGGGACTGATCTTCAGTCCTACATAAACTAAGTATGGGGGCTTCACACCTGTAATTCCAGCACTAAGGAGATGGAAGCAAATGATCAGAAGTTGAAGGTTATCTTCAAACCCTGTCTTGAAATGTGTGTGTGTGTGTGTGTGTGTGTGTGTGTGTGTGTGTGTGTGTGTGTGTAAAAGTCACAGGCAAATCAGGGTGAATTTACAGTGTGCAAACTGTTTTAGATGTATTAGCTCACTAAACTTGCAAACAAACCTGATGAGGTGGGTACTGACAATATTACCAGCAAATGGTAGGGAATTTGTACACGAAAGCTGACACATTCACTTGACACAAGCTGCACATTACTTAACGGGAAGCTCAGGAATTAGATCTGTTAGACCAGTCCAACTCTAGACTTCAGGGACTCAACCACCAGCCTCTGTGCCTTTAGACCTCTCCAAGATTGTGGTCTCTTATTGCTACATTCCAGGGCCGTTACTAAACACCTTCTCAAATTCCCTTCTGTCACTACAAAGAGTGACAGCCTCCTAAAGAGAGCCAGCAGGTCAAGCCCAGTCTTGTGCTGAAGCATGGAAGAGGCCCCTCCTCTTAGCAACAGACGCTAAAGCCTGGTTACCCACCACAGGGCCTGGGGACACACTTCATTACTGTTAAAACTGCTCAGGGAAGAGGGGGAATAGTCTAGGCTCCCAGGGGTGTTATTTGGGATAGCAAGCTCCCACTTCTGTATATTAATATGTGACGGTGCTTCAATTTTGTCCTCTGCAGAGACTTCAGGCTGTTCTAGGAAGTTCCAAGAAACCTACTGAAAAGAAACGAAGAGCAAATCCTGCAAGGAGTGGGGACTAGAGGAAGACTCCTGGAGAATGCCATGCTACCTCTTCATTCTGTGTCTTTCCTT